CAACATTAAAACCCTACCTAGGGCAGCTGCAGTCCTTTCTCCGGCTTCTCGTGAATCAAATGCATTTGAGCTCTCCAATAGAGGGGACCCATGGATGTAACTGAAATAGCAGGTCATAAAAGCAATAAAAGTATCAAAATGTAATTTTAGCATCATATAACATTGCCTTAGACCAGAACTAACTGTATCTTTTGTGACAGTAAAAGGGGAAATGTAACACAAGTACTTCCCAAAGTGGTCCCTGTCCTAGTGCACCGTAAAATTGTGCAAAGCCCCAAACTGTAGATCATCTAACTTGATCTTCCACTCCACTTTCCTACCTTTGCCTCCTTCATCTTTACCTATTTCGTTTAAGTTGTTTTTATAATCATTAAATTAAATATTCCAAATTATTGATTTAGTAATATATTCAAGCTAAACAGTAAAAAACATATATATATGCATCAAATCATGATTATGTGTTAGTATGCATTGGTAGACCATACATACAAATACAAGAATGAAGCAAAGAGTTGCTTCTCATTCCACAAGAAGCCATCAGCTGAGAGAAAAGATTGTCAAATCCAGCAACAGCTCCTCGGTTTTGGCTTAGGCTTTCTAAGCGAAGCCTAATTTGATAAGATTTACAACCTAAAAAGAGCAAAAATTATCTATCAAATAAATTCGCTTCCCATAGTAAGTAACAGCCTCCTGATTATATTCTCATAATTTTCAAATTGTGTTCATCTAAATTACCATCCTTCTCAAGCACTAATCCACCAGCAAAGGGATGTTAAGAAACTGGGTAATTAATGTAAATGTGCTCTAATGCTCCACAAAAAGATCAAGTTGCATACGCACTTCATTAGCAAAAGGCACCGGCTTAGCTCAAGAGCTTCCAGAAGTTCTGAACACGTCATTTCCACAATCTCGTCACCTTCTGAAATAGCTGCATCTTTTGCTTTTTCTGCAGCTTCCTTGATCTGTAACCACTCTGGACTACAGTTATGAATAACCCTGGACTGCAATATTTGGATACATAGTTAATGATATGACCTACAAAATCTAGCTAATTAAACATATAAACAATAACAATGAAAGTGAGAAGGAACGACTTGTGGAGTTTGGACACCTAGCCACTTTGCAAATTCATAGCCAAGACGTTCTGATTGTGTTGCCATCCTTGAAGAGGATATCTTTATAACAGCTGCAGCTTCTTTTGGAGAAGCATCATCATTTTCAAGTTCGTTAAATAGCGCAAAAAATACAACACCTCCAGAATTTACAGTCACCTGTGTTCAGTTGACATGAGCAAATAATTATTAAGAACACAACAATAATGTAAAATGCTCGAACTGTGGACATAATGTGTAGTTGACTTTCCCTTTGCCACTCGGTTCTTGTTAATAATAAATATAAAAAGTTGATTTTACACCACAAGTTCATTACTTTCTTTAATTCCCTCTCATACCAGAAAGTATGGTCAGTTGAAAATGATGCATAAGATTATCAAAATCAAGAAGTTCCTTGGTAAAAGAAAAGTTTAAGGAACTTAAAAAGAAAAAAGAGTTAGATGATTAAGGATAATGCTACAACTTTTTATTTTGGCCATACTATACTTGTTTCAGTCAATTCTACATCTTATTCAGGCAATCAGGTACTGAAGAAACATAATGTCAAAACTGAAATACCTCTAATGCTTTATTAGTTTCATCCTCGGACTGTTCAGTACTACTATTGTGCTCCGTGTGGTGAAGAGAAGACAGCATGTTCCACGAAAAGGTGCTTGATTCAATGTCCGAAACCGCAGCTTTTCCAAGTCTCTCCCATAAACTTACTTCTGTTGTTGGCTCAGATGGTAGAGGATCAACCTGATCAAGACTCAACTCTTCTGCACTGAACAAGAATTATACTGGAGCTACATTATGGTTGTAGTTTGTACTTTATTCGTTTATAAAGCTCAACTAGTCCAAGCAATTATTTGCACAATAGACAGAAAGAAGAATAAAAATTCCCATACTTTTAAGAATAGGGCCCACAACAACAGCTAAAACTTTGCTCTCATCTGAAAGTTTTTCATGAAACAAAGGTGTGTTATAACATGTGTCACTCATTTAATCTCAATATTTAAAGGAAAAACACAGTTCCCATTCTTCCACTTTTTTAAGAAGTGTCGACATTGTTCTAGACTCTCATGCAAAAAGAAACTTCATCCCTCAACTTGAAGAAGCTTAGCAGCTACCACAGGAGAAAAGACTTCTACCAAATGTAGGTACGTATTTTTCACTTGATTTCCTTGTGAAGAAGAAGATGAAAGACAGATAGGAGATCTTTTCACATGCTCCAAGTCCTATGTATAGAAACAGAACATGAATATGCCAACTTACAACTTCCTCCATTTCATTAGGCACTTTTTCCTTTTTGGACGATTTAAAAGAACGACACATTTCTATATTTGAAAATTCTTTAACATTCTAATTTAGTCCTTACAATATCCTCTTGGGGAATTGAAGTTGCATCTGTTGATAACACGATATGATGGGTACTTTGATTTGGGAGTGTTCTACACCTTTGCATTATGTATGAAAAGACATTTTTTTTTTCTTAAACTTCATGTCAAGTTAAACACCACCATATAGAATGAAACTGATGTAATAATAGCTTTCACCACGGATGTCTATAATTAGTTATAGCTCTAGGCTGCATATACTCGAGTACAATATAACAACAAATTTCAAGGAAGACAACTCAAATCAGGCTAAAAGAATCAAAATCACTACTCTCAAATCTCATTTAATGCTTTTTCTTTCACAGGGGACTGTAGGGAATGTGTGTGCCCAATACACAATAGTTGGACTATTAGCTTGGGTAAAGCATCAATGTCAGTTTCTTTGATCAATAACGTGAGTAAGCATCAATCAAAATGATCATTTGCTACCACTAACCTTAATGGCATGCTATCAGCTCGTCTAGGGAATCCGGAAGAGCGGTACTTGCTGCTACGTTTACGGACCAGCTCAAGCCATTGGGCGAACCGATACGCCGGCCCTGCCGTGATATCCCCCAACATATACAGCACCTGCAAAACAACAATGTTCCATCCACCCTTCAATTATCCAATCCCCCAAACTTCAAAAAAGCAATTAACAATGAAACTGACCCGAGAAGTGACAGTGAGGGGCAACGGGGCCTCAGGCTCGTCCGATCCCAGATCGAAATCTTTCTCCTCTTCTCTCTGCAAATACATAACTTCTTCCCACTTATATAAGATCGCTATAAGCAATACAAATCGACAGAACCCAGATCTATATAATTCAATACACACACATACTGCAACTACAGTAAAACTAAAAGCTCATAATGATTAAAGTGCGATGCCTATATCTATATGGTAGGTATTTTTTTGTGAAAAAGGGGACATGGGTGTTGTTGATTTGAATATAAAAGGTAATAATGTGAAGGAAAGAGAGCGTGCCTGAAAGGAGTACATGTCTTCTTGATTCTCATTGGTCATTGCCTTACTTTTCTTTGAAAAAGTAAAGTAAATTTTGCCGCTTTTTCTGGGTCGTTGAAAATTTGAGAGAATACGGTAAGTGGGGTTCAAGATCAATCAAAGCTGTTTAGCAGAGAGCGCTTTTCATGGAGATTGAAACTCAGGTGAGTCGCTTCCTTTTTTAAGTCGACAGTGATGATGACACACTCACAGTCGGCTGCTTTATGTTAATTTACGAATTTTGAATGCAGTCCACGGCGAATCTAGAAATTTTGCTTAATTATATCAAAACTTTAGTATATATATATATATATATATAATTTTTCGATGAAGGGTTTCAAGTAACATCAATGGAGCTAAACCATCACGTAGGTAAGGTTCATGAATGTATTTCCATTCACTCTTGTCAATTTTAACTAAACATATTCGATTAAATTTTTAAGATTTGCCTATTTTGAGAAATATTAACCCATGTTCGATTTAGCATAGAGTTAAAGAAAGTTAGTAGGTGTTATATAAAATCATGAGATGAAATCAGATGATTTGAAAATTTCATATTATATTAAATACAAAAATTAATTCACAAGTGTTTATATTTTTTTAAAACAACGTCCCATTTATATCTATTAACCATTTATTTCATATGTAAATAAAATTTATAATCAATATAAATAAGAACGGAGGGAGTAATACTTTTTTGACCAACAAATAGCTCAGTGAGTAAATTGTTTGTACTATGTGAGAGGCTTATATTAAATACTAGTACACTACAATTCATGTTCAATTTTTTTATTGAATTAATATCAACTAAAGTTAGATGAAACATTTACTTAAGTGGAGAACAAATAGCTTTGTAATAATTTTGTTTATTTGGCAAGATTGAATAAACAATTATGACTATTTTAATAATTTTACAACTTATGAGATTCTTATGTTTATGAGAAAATATAAAACACAAAAACTTCATATTATATGTCTAAAGAAAACTTTAACTTCATCTCATAATTTCATAGAATGATATTATATCATTATTAAACTAAAGATACGTAAGCAATGAAGAAAGGTAGAAACCATCTTTGATAAGGCTGCATAGTATTAGGTAGTGTAAAGGAGGACCCTCAACTATTAAAGTATGTCAAATGCAAACTAATGAACAAATGAATAGTTATTGAATTTGTTGATCAAGTTCATGTAAACAGCTATCTAAACACAAATTAGGCCCCTACATCAAGATTAACACTTGAATACTTCTAATCATCTCCTTCAGTACTTGTAATTATCTTGTTCAATATCAACCATATCAAAAAAGAGATATTTGGGCCGGGAGTTCCACCTCCAACACTAGCACCAACAGCCACATTACTCTTGCCAACCATCCTTAAGACCTGTTTGTTTATTTTTCAACAAAAAAGAGTCTTTTCAGAAGAAAACAATAACACAAACATGCCATAGAAAGACCGTTTCCGATTAGACAAAGAAAAGCATTTCATTCAAACCAGTTTGAGAAAGTAAAATTACTTGCCTGTTTGTAAATGTTATTGGGGTCAGCACCCAAGTTTTCAAGAACACGAGCGGCCACACCTTTACCACCGCGCAACAATCCAAGTAGCAAGTGTTCTGAGTCAACGTAATTATGCCCTGAATCACAAAACCAATCAACAACGAATGATTATACCATCCAACAAAAGGCTGAAATGGTTAGACAGGGGTACCTAGTTGGCTGGCTTCCTCTCGAGAGAGTTCAAGAACACGCTTTGCATGACGAGTAAAAGGGATTTCCACTGCAACGAATCCACTAACCTTGCCAGTAATCTTCTCTACTTCAATACAAGCATCTCTCAAATTGATTCCCATGGATTTAAGAACCTTAGCAGCAGTACCAGTTCTCGACCCAACAGAATTTGTTCTGTCCCAATTAAATTGTGACCTAGTCGTCTGGACTCTTCTTGTGCAAGCATAATTACTTTTACTGCTTTCTTGGTGGTGCGCTGCTCAGACATTGCTTTTGGGACAATTCGACACCCTCGTGGCTGTTTGACAAAAGTTGCAGCTGCCACTTTTGAATGGAGAGTTTCTCCAGATTTTGCATCTAATACATTGCACCCTCGCAGTCCTACAAAACTCTTCAGATTTAAGGAAGGAAATTTTACATCACATATCATTCTAACACTTGTTTGATTTTTCCGGGATCCATTGAATTGTCCATCCCTTTCACCAGCAACAGCAACTGAAGATGGAATGTTTATTGACTGAACTAAAGCTCTAGCCATGATGGACCTGCAACCTGAAAAGATCAACAAAATCATCATTAACAAACATCAAAATAACAGGTCAAATGAAGAAAATTAGTTCTAAAGTTTGAATCTTTACAGACGTAATGGTTGAATTTCAACACAAGAAATAAAGGGTCCAAGTAAAAAAATGCAGAAACACCGAACTCAAAACATACCCAAAACCAAATCTTGAAAAGAACCCTAATACCAATCTGTGTTATTCACCAGTCGTATATATAGGAATTTTACTTGCGTACCAATTTAGTTTTTTCCTATAAATAAGGGTTTTCTTTATTATAATTGATTATTGCATATAATTAAAGGAATTTTATTTTTTGGAAAAGCTACTTAATAAGACATACTTTACTATATATATACTTACTGTATCTCTAGTTTAAGAAAATTATGCATAATACCACTTTTAATATTTATACCATATATTTTTAAAGATTTTAATTAACGGTACATTAGAAATTTAAATTATTTTTTCATTAAAATTTAAACTCATTATTTCTCATTAAATTTAACTTCGAATTAGACCGAGGTATAATGCTTCGGATAGTGAAATCAGATTGTTTTCAAAGCTTCTTGTTCCATAAAAAAAGTTGTGTCGCATTGCAGATATTCTCTCCATTGAATATCACAATACAGAGGTAAGCTCTAATCTACTAATTCCTCAATGCAATAAAGTGGACCTCGACACCACCATCTATAACATACCTCAAATTCAACAAAATTTCTACTTTTTTTTTCATTATTCTCATGTATCTTGATTTACATCATGTTTATGTATTTGAGATATAATTTATTTTGTTGTAAAGTTTGAATTTATAAACTTTTACAAATTAGAATTATTTTTTTCATTGTAGGATCTTCATCTGCCAACATTCAAGCCGAAACTTTAAGATACAAAAAAAGAATTGATGAAGAAGATGGAGTTTATAATTATAGAATTACTATGGTTTATGATTTTGTTATTTTAGAAAAACTTGTGAGAGTTGATACGCAAGATTCTGTAAATCCGTTTGAGTTGTTAATTATTCATCAATTAATCCTTTAATTAAGGAAATAAGTTACACCCTTTAATTCAAAGTGATAAATGGTGTATCTTGACTTTCAAAATCGATGGATACATGTATCTCGTGAGTAATGATACATGTATCTCAATTACTCCTCTAATTAAGGAAATTAGTTGCAATTAATTAATTTAAACAAATAAAATATGTATCTTGATTTTAAAATTTGACAGATACTTATAATTCACGGATTTAGACTCATGTATCCTAAGCACGAAATGTGGTAGATACTTGTATCTCAACTACTCCTCTAATTAAGGAAATAAGTTACAACTAATTAATTATACAAATAAAATATGTATCTCGATTTTTAAATTTGACAAATACATGTATCACACAGATTCAGACTCGTGTATCCTAAGCACAAAATATGGTAGATGAAGTAATATTTGAAAATATTGGGACTCTTAGTAATTAGAACCCAAACTAATGGTATTTATGTAGTTTGCCCTCTATTTTTATCCTAGGTCAATAAGGATTCAGTTTAATGAATTAGTTTGACTTAACATGAGAAAGAAAGAAAGAAAGAAATACGCTTTAAATTTTTAAAATCGATTAAAAAGGAAAATAAATAGTATAAAATGGGATACAGAGAGTATATAATATTTAATTAATTTTAAAGTTCTAAGCAATATTATTAAGGAGTTTCATATTTTTAATATAGTATAATACACATATTTAATGTTTTATTTGGTTTTTTAAAACTTTATTTATCGTCAAACTAATACACATTATTGGGGAAATGTAAAAGATTATTTTATTTAATTATTTGATTTTTGCAAGTGATGCCTGAGGCTCACTTAAGATACTATCTATTTACCAATAATAATAATAATAATAATAATAATATATATATATATCCCTTTCATGAAAAGTTATGAAATTTATGAAAAGTTGGGACTTTGACGAAGAGTTGCGACTTTTATGAAAAGTTGCGACTTTTATGAAATGTTGTGCCTTTTATGAAAGGTTATTACCTTTTTGAAATGTTGCAATTTTTCCAAATAGTTGTAACCTTTCTGATAAGGCACAATAAATATTTATTCACACTACCCTTTGTTGTCTATAAATAGAAGGATTTCCTCTTATTTTAATACCAAAAAAATTCTGAACCTCTTCTTCTTCACAATTAAATATTTGTGTACTTTCCTCCTGTTGAGTGGCTCATTGACACCATTGTTTATGTTACAGATCCTGATATGTATTTTTAAAGTCATTAATTTATGTTTATGTTATAAAGGATAAATGATAAGATGTACTAATAATTTTCATTTTTCTTTACATTATTAGTGTTTATTACTACGCAATCTTATATGTAAGATAATATAGTGTTTTAGTTTTAATTACGAATAGGTTTTAAGTATTATCTTATAAATTCCATGATATTAAATTCTCGCGTGAAACGCATGTAATTTTACTAGTAAATTAATAATTTAGAGCTTGAATTTCGAGATCTCATCGAAAATGACTCTTGGATGATTTTTTTTTTCTTCTTTTTTGGAAAATTTTCCTGATTTAATTGAAAAAGATTGTGAAAGTGAAAACTTGGACCAAGTAGATCCTGTGGTGCTTATATTTGGAGTGACAATAACTTTTGTTTTGTTTTTAGTTTAAGACAAGCCCTTGTCACGGATAGTGCACACAATATGACGCGCCCATCATAATTGTGGTGTTAGGGCCAACTTATGCGCATCACAATTACTTTTCACCAGTATAGCTACCTGATAACTCAACCTTCCATGGCTTAGACAGGCTAATAACGTTTGTCAAATGTAAACTAGTGAACAAATAATTATTGAATTTGTTGATGAAGTTCATGTAAACGGCTATCTAAACAACTATTTAGTAAAATTGAATAAACAATTGAGGCTATTTTAATAATTTTGCAACTTGAAAGAATCTTATGTTTATAGGAAAATATACCACATAAAATTTCCACGTCCAAACAAAACTTCAACATGATATAATGATATCATATGAAATGGCCAAATGGCCCTAAAACTTTTTGAATGTTATAGTATCAGGTAGTGTATAGGCTGACCCTCAACTCATTAAAGCATGTCAAATGCAAACTAATGAACAAATAGTTATTGAATTTCTTCATGTAAACAGCTAAAACAGAAATTAAGCCCTACATCAAAATTAACACTTGAATACTTCGAATCATCTCCTTGAATATTTCTAATTATCTTCTTCCATCTAAAAAAAAAAAAGATACTTGGGCCAGAAGTTCCACTTCCAACACTATCACCAACAGCTACATTACTCTTGCCAACCACGCATCCGAAAGACCTGTTCATTTATTTTTCAACAAAAAAAGAGAAACTGATTACAAGGAAGTCAAGCTCAAGTAAACAGATATGGGTACCCTACTCGTGGTAGGTAGGTAGAAAGACTGTTTCCAATCAGACGAAGAAAAGCATTTCAAACCAGTTTGAGAAAAGTAAAATTACTTGCCTGTAGGTAAATGTTATTGGGGTCAGCACCCAAGTTTTGAAGAACACGGGTAGCCACACTTTCACCACCGCCCAACAATCCAAGTAGCAAGTGTTCCGTGTCAATGCAATTACGCCCTGTATCACAGTGAATAATTAGACCATCAACAACAACAATAGGGGCTGAAATGGTTAAACAGGGCTACCTAGTTGGTGGGCTTCCTCTCTCGAGAGTTCGAAAACACGCTTTGCACGACAACTATAAGGAATTCTCACTGCAATGGATCCACTACCCTTGCCAATAATCTTCTCTACTTCGATACGAGCATCTTTCAAATTAATTCCCATGTATTTAAGAACCTTAGCAGCAGTACCAGTTTCCTCACCAATAAGACCCAACAGAATTTGTTCTGTTCCAATTAAATTGTGACCTAGTCGTCTGGACTCTTCTTGTGCAAGCATAAGAACTTTTACTACTTTCGTAGTGGTGATCTCGTACTCTGCTTTTGAGACAATTCGACACCCTTGTTGCCGTTTCACAACCACTTTTGAATGGAGAGTTTCTCCAGATTTTACAAGTAATGCATTGCCCCCTCGCAGTCCTACAAAACTGTTCATTCGAACACTCGTTTGATTTTTCCAGAATTGTCCATCCCTTTCACCACCGGCAACTGAAGATGGAATGCTTATTGACTGAACTAAAGCTTTAGCCATGATTCATGTACCTACATGATAGCAAATCAGAAAAGATCAACAAAATCATTAAGTAAAAACATCACAATAACAGATCAGAACAACTCATATGAACAAAATTAGTTCTAAAGTTTCAATCTACAATAATGCAGAAACACTTAATTCAACGCATACCCAAAACCAAATCTTGAAAAGAACCCTAATACCAATCTGTGTTATTCACAGAAGCCGTGTGAGAGCTATGTTCTATATATATAGGAATTTTACTTGGTATTGAGTTAGTTTTTTTTTCCCTATAAATAAGGGTTTTCTTTATTATAATCGATCATTAAGTATACTTGAAGGGATTTTATTTTTATTTCAAGTCAATTAGGATTCGAGTTAATTTGACATGCACCAGAAATAAAATAAGGTAAAAGAACATTTTTTAAATTAAATTTTTATTAAATATAAAGATGTGACATTCTTTTTAGAATTGACTAAAAAGGGAAAAAGAGTATATAATATTTAATTGATTTTAAAGTTCTAAACAATATTATTAAGAAGTTTTATGCTTTTAATATAGTATAAATAAATTATACACATATTTAGTTGAATTTTATTTGCTTTTTTTAGAACTTTATTTATCGTCAAACTAATACACATATTTGGAAATGTAAAATATTATTTTATATAAATTTCTTTACAAGACTCTTGGAAGATTTATGTTTTCTTCTTTTTTTGGAAAATTTTCCTGATTTGATTGTGAAAACTTGGAATAAGTAGATCCTAGGGTGCTTATATTTGCAGTGGCAATAACTTTTGTTTTGTTTATAGTTAAAGATTCAAGCCCTTGTTTATTGTTCACGTCACCCATGCTTTTCATTTTTATTTTAAAAAAAAAAACACAATATGACGCCCATCGGTGTTAGAACCAACTTATGCACATCATGACTATATTACACTAGTATAGATACCAGATAACTCGGCCTACCATGGCTTAGACAGGCTAATAAACATTCTTTTACACCACCTGTACATGTTTTACGAAGGTAATATTGTAATGGATAGTTTGGGACATCCTAAAGAACGCTAGAAAGCGTTGTTTGATAAGCCTGCATAGTATTAGGTAGTGTAAAGGCTGTCCCTCAACTCATTTAGACTTCACTAGTAAAGTCTGTCAAATGTAAAGTAGTGAACAAATAGTTATTGAATTTGTTGATCAAGTTCATGTAAACAGCTATCTAAACACAAATTAGGCTCTTAACTAACACTTGATACTTCTAATCTTCTTCTTGGATTTCATCTTTGGAATAAACAAAAAATGAAGAACAAAAAGCCAGAAACAAAAGAAAGAAAGATCCTTTGACATTTAATGGTGACAGAGCTATTTACATTATGCTGTCTGATCAGAAAACTTCAGGGAGTGGCTTGCCTTCAAGAAATGACTTGAACAACACAAGTGATCTCTCTGGCTGTGAGAAAGGAGCCTCATGAGAAGCACCTCTAATCGTCGCAAATGAGAGGATATTATCATAAACATGTGTCCATCCACCAACCTAACACAGCAAAAAAACGAAAAATGAAATGAACTTTTGCCTGAAAAACAGCAAACTGGACGCGATGAAATAAGATTGTTTAACTTCTATACATTAACAATGTAATTGCAACCTTCTAATGAATTTTAAATTGCACTGTTAGTGGATGTATAAGTTTAAATTTATCCATATATATTACCTGTTGTCCTGCAAACCAAACTCTATAGGGGACAGTTGTGTTCAGCTGCATCTGCCTTGCTAGTTGTTGAACAGTTGCTCGGCTTCCAATCAGTGGAACAACAGAATCTTGATCCCCACTGTTTGTAAAGAGTTTTAAGAGCATTGGTGTTAGACGTCAAACGAATTGTCAAGCTCACATGAGGAATTAAGTGCATGAAGGGACATTAGATGTGGCTGCATTTGTACCTGTATATTAAGACTGGAATTCTTTCTTTGATAAGCGTTCCTATTATGGAGATGGTTGGTATCTCTATGTCAAGCAGTTGATAGTCCAAAATGCTGTGGAAGCAATGAGAAGTATCTGTTATTTAGGGAGTTGTAAACTGGCAAATTATTGTACCAGAGGCAATGGTCAATAAAAAACTCAAGACTAGCTATGTTGTTCGAACTTTTTAAAAATATTGCCAAGTGCACGTTGGATCCTCCATATGTAGTGTCTTTTTTGGAGGATCCAACACAGGTGCAGTAGCATTTTTGGGGTGTCCGAGCAACATAGGAGACTAGAAGATGGTGATTATTAATATGCCTGCTAAGTTGAAGCCAGTGGAATGATACACTTCATATTCTGCTACGGATTTAAGTTATATCCACTCATATGGTAGCAATTTAGTTACAGATTAACTTATGACCTGATTGTGTGAATACTTTTTCTTTTGTCACTATGCTATTCGGCTGTTGATCGTTTTAGCAAAGCAAGAATCCTTACCTGCTGCAAACAGACCATCTGCGTACTCCAACAAGCTCAGCATGAAGAGCCCTTCTCACATCTTTTCGGTTCAAGTAATTGACAACTTCATCTTCCACACATACATCTAACTTCTCGGCATTTTCCTGGTTATTAGTATCACTTAAGATAGTCAATTTAATCAGATAAGAACACGAAAGAAGCCTGAAAAATAAAGGGAGAAAGTACACTTACTTGAGGACTTATAATCTTGGATTGGGAGAGCACAGAGGAAATACAAACATCAAGGGTAACATCATACTTGTCCACAAACTTACTGGTTTCTCTACTCACTAAACTCATGACTCTCGAACAGATTGGCGATACAGTGTCTCTGTAGTACTCGCTAACATATCGAGAATAATTACAAGCAGAACTAAACATTCTGTATGTAGGATCTGATATTAGACCATGAGACCAGAAGTACTCTGCCCTCGAATTAAAATCAGTAGCAAATTCCAGAACCGGATTACCTAGCTGCAACGAAACAAAAAAAAGGAGGGATTAAACAGAACTTTTCGTCTAAATATCTCAATTACATGTAACAGCAAACAAATGCATATAAGCAACAAAGAAGTACATGTGATCTGCAACTTATTTAGAAACTTTAGGATAAACTTACTGCAATTCCTTTTAGATTGAACAGCTGTTGCTTCTTGTTAAATGCCATCATGAGCTTAGCTAGTTGAGGTACATAATGTCCTGTAATTAAACAAGCCAAAATGTGATTAACAAAGAACAAAAGACATAAAAATACCAAATAATTTTCCATCTATGACACATATAAGGAATAATCCTACCTGCATAACTTTCACCAGTTAGAAACAAATTGCTTTTACTGTACTGTGGAAATTTATGGAACCAGCGTAGTAAGAAAACAACATTGTCCCTGGCTTAAGAATACATAAAAGATAACAGCTTTAGAATGCAAAGCATAAAGCAAGAAATTTTAAAATTCAAAAAGGCTAAGTTCAATTAGGACAAATAAACAAGGATAAAAAAAAATCAGAAAGTTTTCCAGAATCCACATTAACAATAAAGAGAACTTGCTTTTCCTTTCCATTAAGTTGTAAGTTACTATTATACTGCTGAAGATCAGCAATCACATGCTCATCATAAAAGTCAAAAAAGAAAAGATGAAAAGGAACAAGCTTTTTAGAAAATGAACCAATAGTTGGAATGCATGTTGAATTAATACTTGACATCTATGTTGCTCGGAGTCTCCAAAACTGATGCCACGCCCATGTCAGTTCCTCAAAAACTGCACTACTTTTGGAGGATCCAACACGCATTCATAGCCATTTATAAAGAGTCTGAGCAACATAGCTTGGGAGTGGCAAAAATACCTGTTACTTCATCATTTACTGTCTCATAGGAAGAAGTATCAGATGAATAAGAGAAGCCAACTCCAATTGGGCTTTCCAAATACAACATGTTTGCCTCTGCAAATATTTCAAGAAAACACAATCATTTTTTCTACTTCTCAGAACTATACAGTTACCAAAATAAAAAAAATGGGAAAATATTCTTGGAAAAATGTTATATCACCTTTGTTCCAACTGTGTTCATTTTTAACAAGACCTTCTCCTCTTGGTCTAAATGGTCCATTTTCAGAAAATGCACCAACCCCAAGTGAAGAACATCCAGGTCCTGCATATAAAAATTGCAAATACTCAAAAAAGATTGAAACTTTATCAACAAAAAGAACACCCAATCCCAAAAACAAGAATGTCTTGAAATTGTATACCTCCATTCAACCACAAAACTAAAGGCTTTGAAGCTGGATCTGTTTCAGCTTCAACAAAATAGTAAAAAAGAGATCTTTGCTTCTTATCATCAACAGTAACATATCCTGAAAATTGTTGAAACCCCACTTGAGGTTGTCCAGGCAATTTAATGATCTTGTCTGGATGAGGCAATGCAGACACAATTCCTACACAAACATAAAGAAGAAAGAGAAAAACAGCCATAGCCATTGGTTTTGAAATCTGCAAATTCATAAGGAAATGAAGAGATTGAAAGTCAAGTTATTACTAAAAGAGAAAGAGTTCTATATATATATAGTGTAGTTGGTGCGTAGGTACGATTTTGACAAAATTCAGTAACTTTAATCCAAATTTTATATTTATATTTAAAAATTCAATGTATTACACATTTTAAAGTGAAGATTTATAAACTTAAAATTCTAAGACATTTTTGTTAACACATAGCATGCCTAAACCAACTTATTATCAATATCATTAATAAAAAAAAATTATCACTTCTTGTCTGTAGTTACTGTAGGCATGGTAATATATTGATGAGATAGAGACCAAAAAATGACCAGAGGGGAAATTCTTTTTAATTAGGTGGTGGCCTCCACTTTGCCTACCATGGGGCTTGTGTCAGCACTCAAAATTCTTCTTTATTCCCTCTCTTACATTTTACAGGGTACAGTATATTTTTTGTCCATTCTGAGAAAAATGAGACTTTTCTGTATTAGAGTAACTTCTCATTTTATCTTTTATGAGAAGCTTTCATAATTAAACAAATGATGAAAGTAGTACTTTGTTATAATCAAGCGCTTATCATCATGCTAAAAGTTATAACTATAGCAAATGCACAACTTTATTTCTTAAGTAAGTCAATCAAGCAAGTGTCATATTTGATCAGTACTCCGATTCAGGCCTTGCTATAGGCATGATGTTGGCATTACTCAACATACGCCCTTCATATCAATTTGATTGACACGTGCTTTCAAAAAGTATAGTCTTTTAAATAGTATAATCTTAAACATGTCAAGTAAAATGTTAAAATTGGAAAAATTTACTAAAGATAGAGAAAAGACTTTTTGAGACAGATTAAAAAGGAAATATGACGCGTAAATTGGGAGGGAGAGAGTATAAGTTTTAGGTTCCCAAGGGGCAAGATAATAAGTACAAAGTTAAAAACCAGCACATAGTAGGTCATCTTTTTGGGCAGGTAGCTAAAACACTGGAAAGGTATGTTTCTTTCTTGAAAGTAGCTTTAAAAGAATACTTTTCTATGCCTCACTAAATGTATGAAAAATGAACATAAATTATGGTGTCTAAGGAAACAGAATAATTATTTTTTTGCTTCATCTTCAAGTAAAGAGCATGACAGGATCATAGTTTCTTTTCTTGCAACAACTTATAAAGCTTTAGTAAATTTTACGAGCGTGAAATACACGCGCATCAATAAATATTAAATCGGCAAGTCTTAACCCTTGAAGTGATAGTACTTCAAAAGGGTAATGAAAACAGAACATTATGAAACTTGAAATGAGACTTTTAAAATTTGTGGTTCAAAATGAATTATAGAAATTTGTGTGGTTGTAAATCATTTTATTAAGGGTAAAATAGACATTTTACAGTCAAATTGTTACTTAATATAGAAATGTGTCATTCTTTTTTAAACTGACTAAAAGAGAAAGTAAGTCACATAAATAGAGACAGAGGGAGAGATAAAACAAAGGGAAAATGAGATGTAGTCCACTAAAATTAGTCTTGTTCAATGAATGTATAAAATTTGATAATGACATATATATACTCCAAATCAAATACATCAATCTTGTAGACATTTTCTTTATGTATGTATTAGGTTGAATGGATTATTATAATATATAGTTTTTGGCCACCACAAGAAAAAGGAGGTCATATAATAATAAAAAATGAAGTATCATGATTTGTCAATTCACTTTTCACACACCATTTACAAGAACCCATTATACCTTCTACTTCTAAGACAGGGTCCCCCACACCCTACCCCCAGTCCCCTACAACACAGAAAGAACCTTTCCAAAAGTTGCACTTGCTTAAATCATTCCCTTTTCCCCACTTGCATAACTACCCAAAAGCAGAGACAGATAGACATCTAAGGTTCCGCTCTTTATCGCATTGACAAAGTTAGAAATTTTTTGTCTAAATATTTTACATACACAATATAAGTTTTTAACGAAAGGTATTCAGCTATCTTTCGATTTATGTGCCTTTGTCACTAGATTTTAGGCCCCTTCATGGTCCAATCTTTGTTTAGTGACTAGCCAAGATTGAAATTTTACCGGTGCATTGCATTTGGTGTTTCGAGTTGAGAAGATCCAATCATTTTATGTATAAAATAGTCTATGGTATCTAGATATACAATATAATTTTTTGGGAAAATACATAAAAATCCCCTGAACTTGGTCGAATAACTTATTTTAATATTTAAACTACACAGGCGTTTAAATACCCCTTAACATCTTTGAAATGATTTTTTTTTCATCCTGAGACTATAACACCACTCTCTCCCGCCACATCATAGCCACGTAACCGCCACATCATAACCATGTAGGCACCATGCCATTAATTTTTATTTCTTTTTTACTTATTCACTATTTTTTCTTAAACACTTTTGAAAATTAATTTTATCAATTGATTAATTTATAAATGCATACCCCACACCTCTCTTTCTTCTTCATTGTTATTCACCATTATTCCAACCTTCCATACTTTCTTTTCTTCTTCTTCACTATTCAACAATATTTAAGTCACTTTAAAGAAGAAAATTCACTAATATCACATTATCTTCTTTGAACCCTCCCAACGAATTTATCCACTTGGAGAATGGATTTTTTTGAAAGCCAATATTTTAAATTTACCCACTTGGAGAATGGATTTTTTGAAAGCCAATATTTTCTTGACAACTCAAATAAGAAATGAAGATTGCATAAGAAAGTTAGTCCAAAAAAATATAAATTTTATGAAAAATGTTTGAATGGATCTAGAAATCAAAATGGGTCATTCAAAATTTAAGAAAGTTTACATTTGCCAAATCGACACCAATAATATAGAGTGAAATTGACGTCAATAAAATGACATTGATATTGAATTTTACGGATTAGTAAAAGACTAGTGAAATGAAAATAGTGGATAGAGGTGGGGATGAAGATGGAGGAGGAAATGTTTCAATGGAGAAAGATGTGTATTGAGGAAGACAACAAAATGAAAAGAAAAAAAAATTAAAGAAATTAAAAAGGGGATTCACTAATTTCATTTACCTATTAAGAAAATTTACATATTTTAAAGATTTAATATATATAAAAAACTATTTAAATAATTTGTTATATATAAGCCAATAAATAAAGGTCATGTGTAGGGCTTTAAAAATTCAGCTTTTTTCTTTGTTTTCACGCACTTTCAGGAGAGTACACTCACTCTCTCTGCCACATCATCCCTTAGGGGGTGTTTTAATCACTTCAAAGATGTTTAGGAGGTATTTTTAAACACCCGTATAGTTTAAGTACTAAAGTAAGTTTTCGTGCCAATTTCGGGGGGGTTTTTATGTATTTTCCCTAAATTTTTCGATAAAAATAATTCTCACATCATGCAACTCTACCATTGCCTCTACATTGTCTTCTTTTCAGCTAAACATTAATATTACTTTAGTACCCAATTGGATATTAGCTGTTAACACTTAAACACAAGTCAAAGATATCTTTTCGGTACCATTTTTCAAACTCTATACTTAAACACAAGTCAAAGACATCTTTTTGGTGCCATTTTTCAAACTCTAACCTTCCCTAACTAACTTAAGAAATATAGTGCACCTAATATGTTGACTTAATTTAATGTCAATGCATCACTTTTGGACGGTAACAACGTTTTGATTTATCATTCTACTTTTTAACAAAATAGACAACCTGCTATAACATGTTAAATTTCAATAATAATCTCAAAAGTATTACAATATCATCAACGTTACGCGTATAATTTAAATCTTATTCATTAACCTACATTGAGACTTAGAGAAGCGAAGAGTTGGTATGATTAGAAACTCCATCTAGATGTGATATATGAACATTTGACATTTTCCCCCAAAAGATATACATACAAGTATTTCCTACTAGTACTCCTTTGTCTCAATAGTGCACCGAGTGACAAGTAAAGATGGACGGAGGGAGAAAGGATGAACAGTAGCATCTTTCCAACAACAACAACAAAAAAGACACATTACATCTTCTGCACGCTCAAACATGATGTTCTTTTTATTTTATGAATTTCATGCCAGCAATAATAATGTTTCACAAAGACACTCATGAATTTTTCCCACTTCCACCTGCACTCTTCCTTCAGCTGGGGTCTTTGACAAGTCTTGTGTTGTTTGAGGACAACAGACACCCAATAAAATCTAAAATCAACTCAATAAAGCACCAGTTCCTCAGAACAAAAAGGATTCACAATGAAACATAAATCAACTCAACTAAAGCACCAGAATTGCATAAATCTGAAGTTGCATCTCAATGCACACATGACCAAACATGTTCATGTTACACGACCCTAGTAGCGTTGTATGAATTCATAAGGCCACCCTCAGAAAAATATATACAGAAGATTCACATATGCAACCAGAAGTTCATAAGATTTACATTTGGTTATCCAAACGAACAAATCAATTAGAATCCCCATACATTAAATCAAGAACCACTAACCAAATACTAAACACCATGCACCAACTTTACTATCATTGAACTACTGATCATAACATTTTCAATACATAATAAAAAAAGTTCACATAGAGAGAAATTAGTCGAGAGAACTAGACACTTCAGAAAGGTATTTTGTGGAAAGGTTTATCACCTTAACAAGTAAATGTATCTGCGAAGAACATGACCACTTGAGGGCTTAAGCAACCAAAGACACTAAACAGAGGGTCAGCAACATCAACAAAAAAGTCAAAACAGTACTAAATACAGATATAGCTACAGAAGTTAGCTTTACATGTCACTGGTCTATGTCTGAAATGAACCAACCATGGTGAATAACCGAAATCTAAACAGCATTTTGTGAGATGGGTCCGAGGTAATCACCCTCCAAGCTCACAACTGCTTGGAATTCCTTCTCCGCCTCCACATACCTTGCTCCAACCACGATGAAACGCACCACAGTGTCTTTCTCAATTCTTGACATCTTCTCATTCATAAAGATGGGATTTTCTCCAGGCACATACTTATAATCAGCCATCTTCTGATGAGAGAGGTATACCTTGTCAGTGGGGCCACATCTCAAGAAGACACCATGCTTCAAGATCTTGTCAACAACCCCTTCCAAAATCTCTCCACGGAATATCTTGAAGGTAATGCAGCTGAATTCTACAGGGAAAAGCACATCACCAGTGTGTTCTCGAACTTTCCCTTCCCCAATCCTCTCCAATGTAGTAAGAGCCATAAAGTAACCAAGATTTTTGGAGGCCTTCTTGGAAGCGAAGTCATCCAGGAGGCGAATAACAATTGCCTTCTGAAGCATTAAACCTTCAACATCAAGGTTCTCAGCAGGGATTATCACGTTCCATGACAATTGAGATTTCAAATACATTTTGTATGACCTGTCACAAATCAAAACACAGTTATAAGTGAATAACAGTAATAGCAGCAACTCCTTATTAGCTAAACTGACTGTCGGAGCAGAATGGTGAAACAGAGTTTCACTGACAAGGAAATAAATTTTTAAAAGAACCGAATCACTTAAGGAGCCAACTGCAGATAAGTGTTTATGCCCAGCATGAGTTGGTAACAACAACATAGGGTCTGGGAAGGGTAGTGTGTACCCAAACCTTACCCCTGCCTTTGGAGGTAGAGAGGTTATTTCCCTTAGACCCTGCTCAAGAAAAAAGCACAACACCTAGCACAAATTGGTAACTTGAGAAAAAAAAAAGGGGGGGGGGGGGGGGGAACAAAGTGTTTTAGGAAAAATTTTATTCTTTTGTTACTCTTATCGTGCGTAAGGTGTGATCTAATTCCTCGTTCTAACTCGACATTTTGTGCTTTCAGATCATGCCTCCTCGTAGAGCTTATGGAAGTAATGCAAATGCAAGGAATGCAAACGTAGCTCCTCCAGTTCCAAATCAATAAGTTTCGAATGCAGAATTTAGGAACGCCATCCAACTTTTGGCTCAAAGTGTGACTAATCAGAACAACCAGCAGGTTCCAGTTATTATACTTACAAATTACATTGTTAAGTAGATAAAACTTAAATTCGTAATGAATAATACACATATCCATCCTTCCCCCTAGGTTTTGGGCAACATGTGAAAATCAACCTACCAAATGCCCCATATTTCAATCAGCTTCCTGTACAAGCATTTTCGGAGAGTCAAACAATACAAAATGCATAGACATTTCACGGAGACAATTACAGTAATATGAGAGTAAATTTAGATAAGAAAAAGGAAACACCGAATAACCTAAAACAATACGATTAGGAAAACTTTCAATTACTAGGGTAAAATCTGCAGCAGGGTTTCTGAAACAATTTTAGAATGATAACAAAAGATAAATTGGGACTTCACCTATGCTTTTGAGCTGCTAAAGAGTGCGGACAATGAGCAAAAAATGGAGAAAAATAGATTTATGTTACAGTAGACTACAACATCGCATGATCGGAAAGTAACAAGTGAAGGAAACAATATGAAAAATTCTGAACATTGAAAAAAAAAAGAACCGGCGATGGCGGCACAGTTGTGGGACTAACCTTTTGTGGAGAAACCGGCGATGGCGACGGCGACCGAGACCGAGACGGTAAGGGTTATGTTATTTTCAATTGGGTTCAGTTTAGTCCTTTTTTCATTCATAGTCTAATTATTAGCCACGTGTTTAGATTCTTTTATATGGCTTTGTACTCTTCATTTTCACCCATATCGAATTACTTATTATGTTTTCCTAAGTTAATTTTCATGTCTTGTTCCATTTGTAAATTAGCTTAATTATTAAATCATATATTTATCAACTTATTTTATTTTAATTAATAAAAATTAATCTATGATCAAATCTTACCAAAATATTTTTTAATTTGATATATGTTATTGTAGACAATATTTGACGTGAGAAATAATAATATAGTGGATCTTTGAGCTTGAATTTAGTGGCCTTAAACTTGACTTGTACTTGAAATTCAAGGGTTTGAAGCTTGATCTTGACGGATGATTGAATTCAAGAATTTTTGAATTTCATGTCAGCTATAATAATGTTTCACAAAGACACTCATGAATTTTCCCACTTGCACTTGCACTTGCACTCTTCCTTCTGACATGTCTTGTGTTATTAATGGAAATAATGTAATTCAACAAAAGGTAACATTGACACAGACTTTTGCATCACTCAAATTGATTATACAAACTACTAATTACAAGTTAACTGTTCTCAAGCTCTACCATTTCAAAATTCCAGAAAAACAAACCGGAAGAAATAAATCAGAAGAAGAAAGAATATCTATCTGAATTGTAAACCCAAAAGGAAAAAGGAAAAAGGAAAAGGGAAGAATACAATCCGTAAAAGAATAGACATCAAACAAGAACAGATCATGGAGATGCCTCCGAATCAGTACTCATTTTTCCATTATTAGGTTGGTCAATCTCTTTACGAGATGCTTCCCACAGCTGCTGTTCTATCCCCAGCTTCCTCAGCTCTATCAAACCTCTTTCAACTGTGAAAATGAGCAACGGAATTACTATACAGTCAATATACTTCAATTACACAATCAACAGACAAATTTAACTCTTGTTTTCACCATTCGAGTCCCTCCTCACAAGCCACTTCATTTATAGCATTATGAAAGATTCAAATAGACTAATAATGTTATCTCAAGTCATCATTCTCTCCTCTGTAAGCATCTTTTTTTCTTTACTTGAATACCTCATCATGCCAAGCATCTATAAACTTGAAAAATTGATGAAACTCAATTTGGAATATAGGTTCCATCAAGCCCTATCAGTGGAAAGGGAGAGAAGAGTTTCAATTCTTTCAGCTGTCCTTCATAAATATGCAAGAGAATAGAGAAACAAAGAAATAGGGTGTGTGTGGATGGAAGACATATAGAGGATATATTCTCATGGCACCATCGAAAACATGAAGTTTAGGTAACACTAGCTTTGCTAGTCCAGTGCTAACCAATGCATGTGATGATCAATTATAGCTTTACACAAAAAGCTCTTCCACCAAGGCCTACAAAAGAATCTTCTATGGCACCACTGACAATATGAAGTCTAGGTAAAACTAGCTTTGTGGGTCCCAATCTAACCAACGTCTGATCATAATTTTACACAAATATAGCTTTTCCACCAAATCGACAAAATAATGCCAATTATAGTTTGACACAATATAGCTATTCCAACAAGCCTACAAAGTATGGACTTACTACCATGACAAGTGGAAGCTCCTAACATGCTTTTAGAGGCATCTTAATTGCTGTTCAAGAGAGCAAAGAGCAACTCTGTTACAAGTGAAGGGACAAAATTATTTTTAAATTGTTTCTACATTAGTTATTACAAATTCAACCCTATTGCATGTGTAACTTTACGTAGTAAATATCGTTCAGAATTTTTCCTTCTACTTTCCTTTAAACTGTTTAAATTGAAATTTCCTACCATAACTGTAAACCCTATTTGGTTGTAATTTTTCCTAGTATGGTATATTAATGAAAGTTGCATATTACCAATAAAGAGAAAGAACATGTGATTTTTCAAAGGACTTCAATTTCCATGTTAAACATACTTTCCTAAATTTTAAAATGAAAAGTTCCTTTGGAAGTGTTGAGAAAAATAAAAATAAAATTATAATAGGAGACAAATCTTGTAGGAAAGTGAAATGTAGTAGAAAGACCAATTTAGCTCCTATCCGACCTCAAGGTAGCATCATAAAATGGGGGTATCCAGAGGGTTAAGCTATAATGGATCAAGAGACTCGGCTATATATTGCAGGAGCTTGGGTTTCATTAGTAGTATAAATTACTAACAAAATTTTTGTGCTTAAAACTTGATTAAACATAATAAGATTCTAGGTACATGGACTTTTTAGGAAGATACTATTTCTATAACAGGAATTTCCATGCAAGGCTCCAATGGAATTGTTTAAGTGGCAACAACGGAATGTGATAGCTACAATTATTTGAGCTTTTAGTAGTAGTATGGATTGCATTCCTTTATTCAAGAAAAAAGTTGAGGAAGTTAATTACCATCAACTGCATCATGAGTGGTTGGTGACTGTCCACTACGGCCAATCCAGACCTGAAGCCTCTCTTCTGCAATATCCTCTTCTACACAATGCACTTTGGCTCTCCTCCAAAAGTATGTAAGCCAAGCCTGCAATTTTAATGATGGATCATCACGTGGTGGAACTAGTGCAACCGAAATTGGTCAAGTGGAATACTCCTCAAGTAGTTTCAACATTCAATTAATTCAGATCTTTATAGATCTAAAAAAAATTCCATCCTGTAAAATTGGTCTCAACAGAGCATGTATGTAATTTTTTTCTTTTGAAAGGAGTATGATATGTATATCTTCCCAGCATGCCAATTGATATTAAGGGCCAATACAACAGAAGAAGAGGAAATGGCTCCAGAACAAAATAACTAAATCACGGAGAAAAAAAAGACAACTGACCTCCTTGAAAAGAACATCTTCCGATTCCTCTTGCCCCAACTCTGCAACCAAAAACACACAGCTCTAGATCAAACCCTTGTAAGGAATCCCAAGAAAGAAGGCACACGTTATACCATAACAGATCAACAGCCTCCAGTTTTAACAAGGCATGACCTATATACCAAATAATCTAGAAAAAGAACAAATACTGAAGTCCAAAGTGGGGAATTGACACTGATTTTTTAAAGGAATTGCATCTTTTACATCTGCATAGAAATCCCAAAGAGAGTCTATATGTACACACATAGGCTCAAGAAAGGATTATTCCAGCTGCTCTCAAATAAACAGCAGATTTTCTTAAATACCCCCCCTCCCCCACCCCC